CTTAATTATAAAAAATTTTAAATATTTAACTCTTAATTATTACCATCGAAACGTTTGACTCTTTTTCTAACAAAAATATAAAAATTTTGATCCCATATATTCTATTGGACACCACCATAACAATTTATGATTGGAATCTAAAAGCTTTACCTGAATTCTATCCCAGTTTTTTAGCAAAGCTACACATGATAGCTTTTAGGGACTTCACCTACTTATGATAGTAGAATTTATGCACGCTGAGCTGCGCTGTTTTTTCTCATGGACGTCATGTGAAGTCTCATATAACCTGAAGGCCGGAGAGAGGTACGTACCCTCGACATGTAGTAGGGATTCAATGTGAGAAAGCAATAGGTCCTTTTGCATTTATTCATCTGCAGCCAATTATGATGTGAAAGCAATATGCATCTTTTTTACTTGCCTATTTTACGTGGCTGGCTGAGGTTCTTGGTAGACTACTGATCTAATTGGTGTTAGATTTTCAACACGTAATTAGGGACCCCAAATGGAGCAACCTTTTGTCAAATCTGCAGAGAAAAATGGATGCACTTAATTAGAGCAAGGGCAAACGCTGAAGCCAGCAGTAAATGACTTTTGCACTACTCTGCAAGAAAATTTGCAGTGCAATTAATGTGAGACAATAACATTGGAATCACAAGGAGGCAATCTGCAACTCTGTCTTGAAGACCTGGCTAGTTAAGGGATGATTGAATATCTGATCTAATGTTATTATTATTATTATTATTATTATTATTATTATTATTATTTTACCTGAGGAATGGCAGGAAAGTGATCTCAGATCTACCCTACAACATTTAATCCGAGGCTTACCTTGTGGTAAGGAGGATTCCCAATTGGATCTTGCATCAAATTCAATGTACAAGAATTTTGACCTTGGCAATGGAAAGCAATCATGTCATGTCTATCCAGAGATGTAAACAAATACAAAATCGTCACTTCTTGACAATCGTGTCTGCTTCAAAGACATTGATACTGTTTTTTTCATTCTTATTTTTACCCTTTTTTTTTAACTTTCAAAAAAACAAATTTTACCCTTTTTTTTTTCTTTTACGGCCATAGGAGAAACCAAACACTTAACGAATCCCAAATCTAGATGCTAAACCTTGGTTCTGACTTTAATGTAGGAAACAAGAAGCGCCATGCAGAAAAAGACAAGGTTAATGGACATTAAATTTCATCGTCCTCCCTGGTAAGCTAAAAAGAAACAACTAGAGTGTTACATTAGGGTTTTACTTAATTACTAGAACTGCATTTGTTTTCTCTTTTCATTTATTGTCACTTAAAGGTCCAGAAGAGAAACCCAACCTACCATTGTACGGATATATTTAAATGTCACAGAAAGGTTTCCCAGCTACCAACATCAATATGATCATATGCATCCAATTTGAGCTTTTCACTGGTGGTTTCTCAATCTATTTTTCTAGCAACGCCCCAACCCTTATTCATCCCCAGCAGAATATTGAAGTCTTACAGTTGTGGCAAATTAAGGTAAAGAGAGTAAAAATTAAAATAGAAGAGACTATGGGAAAGCATAATTACCATTCATAGTTAACAAGTCAAGATGACAATTAGTGGCTTAATCTTGAAATTTTTTAGTTTGCAACTGATCCCAAATTTAACAGTTGAGATTGGATGGATTTAATTTATGTATTAGGATAGGGAAATGCCACTTTGTTAGGCCAGCCAAGACTCCAAGGATCTTTCAATGCACCGAAAGAGAAAAGATAAAGTCAAATAGGACGATTGAACAAGTACTTAACTGATTCCTAGCAGGTTAGAATGTGGATATGAAATGACTGATCTTCATACAAAAACAAAATCATGACAAGTATTTCGTTGGCTATATGTCTAGGATTCAATGGCATATATAAAAGTTATTATTAATTAGTATAGATGGAGGAACCACAACTATTCTTTGATTAGGTCATTAGGGTATCCTGCACCAACTCTCAAGAATTTCTCTCTCGTTGTTCGAGAACGGTACAATATCTGAAAATTTGACTGTATAATGAACAATTCAACTGCCACAAAAATAACTTTGATAGTTGGTACTATTACTTTTGGTGCTGTGTTTTGTTCCTGCAGCTGTTCTTGTGATAGGTGTATTAATATAATAGCAATAGGCTTAATTTTGACGTTATCGAAAGGGCCCGTAAATGTACACTTGTTATACCAGTGGAAGATAAGGGACTTCTCGTGCTAGTTCGAGTTACTGCAGTAAATTAACACCAACTACCAAACTCAGGCTTTGGTTCCTTCATTAAATGATGTCTAGCTATTCACCCCCTAGTATTTATAAGCTGCATTATAGTGGTATCTTCCCATTCACACTCGAAAGCTCTTGGTGTTTGCTTACAATGGCACTTCGTTCAGTGATCACTGCACTCTTCTTCGTGTTGGCTCTTGCTAGGATTGAGCTCTCAGGATGCCATGTTCTGAAGGGCAAATCTCCTGCCTTGATTGCACTCGTGATTACGACTTCTCAGGTTCTGTAGTAACTGATTTGGCACTATGTTTTCAACTTCTTAGTCTATATTTATCATTATGTTGTTCAACTGGCCACTATGCTTTTGAGTTGTTTTAACTCTTGTCTCAGAGTAACTAATTAAATTTGCCAGTTCCTAGTTGTATTAATCATATTTTGCTTCAGGCATCAAGGTTCAAGTGAAATGTGCTCAAGCGAAAAAACTGGCCACCGCAACCTCAGAAGAAATGGTTCTTTCAAGGTTGGAGCTTCCATCAGACACCTCAAAGACCCCAAGAGCTGAGAATTGCCTTGCCAAGCTCCTCGGTGGTCCGAACCAGCTCTATGCTTGGAGGAGAAACCTGGTGTCAAGTTGTCAAGGCCCTGATTTAAACTCTTACACCATCTCCACCCCACTAGCCTTCTCTACTGCATGCCCTTCGGCTTCCAAAGATGCTAAATGCGGAGCTCCAACCGAGATTGGTTCATCTAAGACAGTTGACCTGCCTCTCCCACGAGAGTGGGGCCTTGCACCATCTAGCTATTATGTCCCTTTCTTCCCCATCATCGGTATCCCTTGATCATCTCAGTGATTTACAGTTTGCGCCTTGTGTAATGGTACTATATAATATCATCATAAGTTAGGAGAAAATCTTGCTACTTTAAATATATATGTATAACTTGTGAGAGCAGACCGTTGCAAGATTTTAAGTAATTTCCATTAATTATGTGTACTATGAGTGGAAGGATCCATGTAATCTTTGCTTCTTGTTTAATACTAGCATATAGCACTTTACACTACAAATGACTTTTCAATGTTTCTTGAACCGTATGGATTTTACCCTTTTCTCCTTAAGCAGGATTTGTTAGGTATACTGGTTTTGTTAAAGGTCGAGCTCAAACATGTTACGAAAGGAAAAGAATGTCACTCTCTCTATCTCATCGTTGAGAGGGTCCGGCTGTGCCGATCAATATCTTTTCTTTAATAAATGGAGCCATTCGTTAATAACCAGAATATTGTGCCTCGGCTACTTTATTGGCTCTTCTTTCTGTTCTTGTTTGGTCAACCACATTCAGTGATATGCCCCACCCCTCCCCCAACATGGCTCAGGGCAAGTCGCAAAACTATTTTTTAGTTTTATGAAGAGAGAAAAGCACATGAACAGATCAGATCATGAGCCTTTAACACAGAGGTCTTTTTGCTTTTCCAGAAACCAAAGCTTCATAGGCCAAGACAGTTTAGGTTTGGAAGTTTTAGAAGTCGGCCTTTAGAGCGGAAAGGCCAGACACTGGTAAAAAGCTGTAAAGCAATTAATGTCTGCCGAAAGCTCTGCCCGTGTGTTAAAATTGGATGATTGAGAAAAAACTAAAAAAAAATACATAGTAAACTATTTTTTGTAGATTGTAGCTAGTTTGTAGAGACACTTCTTCTTCTTCTTGTGTAGTATCAGTTAATGACCAATATACTAAAAAATTTGCAAATAATGCAATATGTTACTCTTTTCTTTTTGGAAATTCGAACTGCATTAATGAGACTACTGTGCAACTTTTGGCTTTATATATACAGTAGGATAGAAGTGGACCTTTATTCTGTAAGAGTAAATAAGGGATAATTCACACATACTTTCCAAACTAAACCCACGCTTTCCTTGGTTCTGGTACAGAATGTTCTAGTAAGGTTCTTTTCACAAACTCTTCATGACATGCCAGTCCCATTCTCACAAGTACCCTGCAGCCTTTCTGGTATATGATGTCAACGATCTGTTTCTATGTTTGTAGGATAAGTTCCTTGAACAGTTGAACACAGTTTGTATTGGATTTTTACTTTTTGAACTTGGTGGATTGGGGGGTTTGTCATTGTCATTCTTCAAGTTTGGTTGTAGTTAGTCCTGATGAGGAGACTAGAAATGCTAAGGAAAACAAAGCTACCAGAAGAGAGGCGTTAATTCTTGCCATGTTGCTTAGCTAAGAGTAAGAATTCTGTCCTCTCTTCTGTGCTTGAAGCAAGGAGAGTTGCTTGATAGATCAAACTAGAAGTAAAAAGGGCGATTTTATAAGTCGAAGAAAATGAAACTGAAATCAGAAATATTGAGCTCATTTTGAACATAAATTAACTACCGAATTAGTGAATGAAGTAATCTCGGGACTGATCAGGAATTGAATGCTAGCCCTGTTTTTGAGTTCAATAAACCAATACATAGATACCAAATAGAAGTTCTTTCATAACTTTTCTTTTTATGTAAAAAAAATAAAATAAAATAACATAAACTGTGCCATAAAAAGGAAACAAAATCAAGGGCTAAGCCACTTTCATACTGTAATAAGGCTTAGTTTGATCTGTTCTGCGCCTTAAACTGTTAATGTGATAGCACATGGCGTAGAAAGAAAAGACATTGCCTCATTTAATTTCTTGACTGGTCTGATAAGAATCTAAGCCTTGTACCCAAAAAGAAAAGTTAGAATTCCCTGGTTTTTAAGAATACATGAAGAGGCTAGTCTTAGACAGGGAGAAGCTGCTATACTTGAATTGAACATTCACTTTCTGCCGGAAATTAACTGTCAATCATGGGAGGCCACACAGTAATTTCGTGTGCTTGTAGCATTTTCCTTAGATGCCTTACCCGAATTGAATGGAACCCTGTATTTAAGGAGGCTAGAACAGGAGATGATGGTCCTATGTGATTACTGAAGACCATTAAATTTTTGGTTCAATGAATATATAGCTTTCGCTAGCAATCATTTCGGCTAACAGCCACTATTTACCTGGTAGGAATTAGGAACCATTCTTTGATTCTATTATTCAACTAAAATTACGAGAAATGATGATGATATTTCCCTAAAAGGCAACCAGAAGCTCAAAATGGAATCAGTGAAGCTAGTTCTGCAGGAAAATCAAACATTTGGAAGCTTCTGTTGAGAGAATGGGAATTGATTCTTGAGATGATCAAGATGGCAGAAACTTAGAACGGAACATTAGCAGAACAACTTTTAATTGATGACTCTGATGTTCTTGATTGGCTTTTGACCGAGATCCCTCATCGGCTGCCAGTTAAACACATCTTCATGTTCAAATGCGTCTCCAGGAGATGGTTCACCCTGATTTCTGATCCTTTTTTGGCCGCTCTTATGCCACCAGAATCAACCGTAGCTTATCTTTGTCTACATCTCAATCATGGAACCTTCTTTTCCGGTACCTGTTCGAAGTAAGAATTCTTAAATGATAGATGACGGTGTTGCTCTGAATCAATTCCAGGATTTCGCATTGCCAGGATTTTCGTTAAACTTACTTCCTTCTGAACAGGATTGTCCGATAAGGATCCTGGCATTGAGTAATGGTTTGTTGTTATGTTCTGAAAGCTTTTACTGGCAGAAAAATTACTACATTTGCAATCCACTTATCCGGCAATGGATTGCTCTCCCCCAAACATCCCCAAGCCTTACAATCAGTTGCAATTGGTTTCATTAGCAAAGATGATGGCTACAACGTGGTCCGGATTCCAACAGCTGATGGCTCATCCAACATTTTACAATTGGAAACTTTCTCTTCCTAGACTGGCCAATGGCACTGCCCGATGGTACACTGCCCTGATCCTGACTATTACCCGAAGACAGATTGTCCAGTTGTACATTACAATGGTAGTTTACATTGCCTAGAGTTTCGCCACAGCAAAATCATTACATACAATCATGACAAAGAAACCCGCCAACTCCACCTGATGAACTTGCCTAATGGCAAAGAAAGTGAGTACCTATCTCTCCTGGGGGTGTCTCGTGGCCATTTTCGATACTTCGAGGTGACTGATACTTTTCAAGGACCGCACAATTTATGCATTTGGGTACTTTCAGACTACGATGCCCAAGCATGGTATTTGGAGTACAGGATTAGATTTTCTGATTCTTGGTCTCATCAAGGTGAACTCATTAGGTTTATTCCCAAAGATAATTTCTACATTTTCCCCCTGGCTCTCCACCCTCATGATTTTGACATAGTCTATCTGGGTTATGGAGGTTGCCTGGTTTCATACAGCCTCCAGACAAGAAAAGTGGAAGTGCTTTGTCGGAACTTCTACTCTTATCAACTGCTTGCTTTTGTGCTCCCACCATGGCCAACAAGGATTCCCCTCAAATTATCCAAAGAAATCAGTCATCCCTTCCCAGAAACGATGACACGGACATTTCAACAGGAAACTCAATACCAGTAAAAAAACGTTAACCATAGAGAGGAAACAAGGTAAAAGTGAGACAATCCTCCTCTTCCTTTTGGATTCAAATCAAATGCCGATTTTATTAGTCATGATGATATCGACCAGTTGTTAATGTCAAATCCAAAAATTGGGAACCCAAAGAACAAGGGTCTTCTTCTTAGCTCGCTGTCGTACGGGATTAGCAAAGCATTGCGTTGGCAAGTCATGACGAAGTCAAGGCTGAACCCCACATCACATGGAAATTTTCACATAATTTTTGCTCGTATGGCTTAAGACAGGCGTGTGTTAATCCTCTCGCCGTTTACGCGGATATATAAATGAATTTGAAAAGGTAAAAGGCTCAAAAAAATGCCTAATTCCTGAGCCAAAAGGGCTGTTTGTTGATTTTGAAACAACTTTCCACGCTGATATTGATTTGTTTCAACCTTTTTTCTTTTTTTTTCCATTAAACTTTTCAACTTTTGTTTTATTGTACTGCTACATGCGCGCATACATCCTTTTCCTATATCCCACCTAGGAGAGTAAGACTTGGTCCCCTTTACGTGCCAAATAAAGTTTTGGTAACAGGGTCAGGGATGTCTACAAGTAAGTATTTGTTATTTTTAAATATTGTAGGACGGAATTTATTTGCTTGATAGGATATACAAACTTTATAAATATTCTATTAAATTTTTAAATGATTACCTGAATTTATACTTAAATATTAAATATTCATGTTTAATTTATTAAAATAAATTTAAAATTATTTATATATATATTATTAATGAAAAGTAAATTAATAAATTAAAATTATTTCATAAAAAATACATTAAAATTTAAAATCATATTTATAAAAAGTGATGAGTTTTCTTTTTTTTTTTTAGAGAATTAATGAGTTTTAGTAGTATTACACTAATTAAGAAAAAAATATGCATAAAACTAAAATTTAATATTAAAATTAAGCAAATATTAAATTAATATTATTTTCTTATTTTCTTCAGGGTTGGTTCCAATTGTCAACCATGTCCAAATTATGGTGCTTCTTCAAGTTTCTTCAACTTTGAAAATTGATACCCATAATTTATAAATTCCAGAGACTTTCTTCAGATGGTCAAATTGGAGAGATTTTCAATCTTTTCATGATCATAGAGAAGAAAAATGGAAAATATATTTCGATGCTTTTTTTAAAAAATTTAATTTAAAAATAATCTTATGGTTATCCAGTCAGTGGGTGCTGCATTAGCTGACCATGCAACTGCAATCAATAATCAATCACACAGTATTCTTTTACTTACATGACTTTCGATCCCCAGAATATTTAATGCTAAAATTTACGGAATATTTAGATAAAAGATTATCCACCCTTTAATGCCGTTTGGTTATTAAATAAATGTCATAATTCTGACCTTTCAGAAAAGTCTCACCCTTTTGTTAAAAAATATATTACTTCAATTGACTGTGAAAGGGACTGGTTGGGGCTTCGGACCCAATGCGGACGCGCCACGAGTTAAATGGGAAATTCGGGTTAAATTAGGCGCGTATCGACCGCGGCTATACTTCGGGGTAAATTCGGGAAACCAATCTACGACACTGCCTCTTATTGGATTGAATATAAGGGCCCAACTGAAAGGAACCAAATTTCG